TGTGTTGGAAGAGGTACAGTCAGAATGCTCCTTGAAGACACAGATGTCAAGACTTCATCTCTCATACTTCAGATGTGCTACCAGGAGGAACAGTCGCTGGAGAAGGACATTAAGTTTAATAAAGTAGAGGGTCAGCGAAACAGAGGAAAAGTCCCAACAAGATGCATTGACACCATGGCAGCAGTCATGGGCTCAAACATAACAATAATTGTGAGGATGGTGCAGAACTGGGCTGTATTTTGTTCTGTTGTTCGTAGGGTAGCATCTGATCCGAACTGACTCAATAGCACCTAACATGAAAAACAACAACATTTGGGTGTTAAGACTCATCTGTGAGTTTGTCATACTATGTTGACTTGTGTGTTGTGGTGATACTGGTAGCTGTACCATCAGGTCGCCTATGATGGACAGGTTTTAGATGAGCTTCCAGACTAAGACAGATTAGGAGGAAGGACCTGGTCATCTACCTCTGAAAAAATTGGCCACTGAAAACCTTATGAACAGTAGTAGAACATCATTTGATGTAGTCTTGGAAGATAAGCTTCTCAGGTTGGAAAACACTCAAGATAGAACTGTGGAAGAACTGCCTCCTCAAAGTAGAGTTGTCCCTAATGATGTGGATGGAGGGAAGCTTTAGGGATCTTAGTTTACTGATGTGGTATGACTTAACATGAGAAAAACAGCTGCAAGCATCCATTAGTAATTGAAATGTGGAATGTATGAAATATGTTCTAGGAACATTGAAGATCATAAAAAATGCCATGGAAGACTTGAAGATAGATATCCTAGTTATTAGTTAGCTGAAATGAATGATGTTGGTCATTATTCAAATTTATGCACCAATCACTAATGCCAAAGATGAGGAAATTGAAGTTTTTTTTTATCAACTTCTGTAGTCTGAAATTAAACATGCAATCAACATGCATTATTACTGGTGATTGGAATGCAAATGTTGGAAACAAGAAGGATCAGTCAATGGAAAATAAGAACATGTTATCAGGAGGGATCAGTTCCCTGGAAGAGAACATGCTTGGTAAAGTGGAGGGAGACCCTCAATAAGATGGATCAACACAGTGGTTACAATAATGAGTTCTAACATAGCGATGATTGTAAGGTTAGCGCATGACTAGATGGTGTTTTGTTGTATGAGGATCAGTAAAAAATATTGCTATAAAATTATAGAAACCCATATTAGATGAAACTATTAAAATGTGATGTTATTGTTCATTGACATATCGTCCATCAGTGTCTATATGCTTTTGAAGGTGATGTTTCCATCTCTCTAATCCTTCCCTGAAGAATTCTGAGCTCTTTGATTTGCACCAGGTCAAATTGGCAACTCTACTCTGTCGACATGGTCGCTATAGGACAGCTTGATGGCACACAGCAACAATATGAGTGATTACAGTTACTGGCACAGAAAATGCCAATCACTTCTCATTACGTTTTTATTCTTCTATGGATATGGCAGGCTTTCTGCAGGGCATTGAAGGGGAACAGTTAGTTGGGGCAACACAATGGAATTGCCATGAATGCTAGGCAAATGAGATGTACTGCACAGGTTGATAGAAGGCAGAGGGTTGGCCAGAGCTGGATTTTAAGAATTAAACTGACAGCTATATGGAACTGGAGAAGAAGTTAGCTAGAGAAGGAGCAATTAGGAGCTTGTTACAGAGGAACAGCTACTAAGAAGTAGTGAGAACTTGCTTTAGATGGAGGCCAAAAGAGGAAGTGTTTGAAAAAGTCGCCATGTGGAGAATTGATGTTGTGTACTTTGGTGACTAAAGGTAACTGGGTAAAGAGAAATCAAAGATAAATGTAATAGAGCTTTGGCATTAACACAAATAGAAAAATAGAAGTGGTTTTGAGGAGAAAAAAGATACCGTGGGTATTGTATTCTATGTATTGCTGTGTAACAACTTACCTCCAATTTTCACAGCTCAACACAACACACATGTATTATCTCATCCAATTTCTGAAAAAACAAGACTTCACCAAAAGAGCAAAAAGAGAACCTACAGAGTGGGAGAGAATTTGAAAATATTCTGGGAGTAAGAAGCAATTAAGTGGTCAAAGCATTATCTCAAAGGCTAAGAGGATTTCTAAAGTGCTATTTACAAAGCATTTACAATTGTATTAAGTATTATAAGAGTTCTGATGTGGTGCTGTAGGATAAGCACTAGACTAATAACCACAGATTGGCTGTTCAAACCCACCAGCTGCCCTTGGAAACCCGAGAGTCTCTATGAGTTGGAAGTGACTTGACGGTGCATACAACAACAGGTAACATAAATAATCAATGAGAAAGACAGAAGAAGAATTGATACCTTTGAATTATGGGGTTGGTACAGTGGCTACAACAATGGGCTGTCAGACATAGTAACGATTGTATGGGTGGTGCAGGACTGGGCAGTGTTTCATTCTGTTTTATGGAGGGTTGCTTTGAGTCAGAACCTACTCCATGGCAACTAAAACCAACAGAGATGATTTAAGGTGTACTGGCAGATGTGAATAGATTATATGAAAATGATATACCATTTGACATAAGGGACTTCATCTGTGGCTTTTGGTATCCTCTGTGGATACTGGAGGATGACTGTTACCAAACATTCAAGGAAGTTGTGCCATTTTGGACCCTGCCAACCTGGTGTGGCGCTGTGGGCTAATGCGTCAGACTGCAAAGTCGTTTGGGCTGCAAGGTCAGTGGTTCAAACTCACCAGATGCTCCCTGGAAAATCTATACAGAGTAGCTATGGGTTGGAATCGACTCGACAGCACTAAACAACAACAATGGAGGAGAACCCCTTTTGCTCCACAGCTTTACCAAGAAAATGTGTTGTCAAACTTTAAAAAATTTTAAAGCTTTTTGTTGTTGGTGTGTGCTGTGGAGTCAGTTCCGACTCATAGTGATGCTGTACAGGATTCCTGAGGCTGTAAATCTTTACGGGAGCAGAAAGCCTCATCTTTCTCCCGCGAAACAGCTAGTACTTTCAAACGGCTGACCTTAAGGTTAGCAACCCAACTCGTAACCACTACGCTACCAGCACTCCTTTTTTGTTATTTGAGTAAAAGTTTACAAAGCAAATCAGTTTTGTATTCAACAATTCATACACATTTTGTTTCGTGACACTGTTGCAATCCCCAAAATGTAGCAGTGTTCTACCCACCTCTCCCTGTGTTTCCCATTTCTATGCTATCTAAAGATTTGTATTTAGATACTGATATCCAGGGACTTCTGTGGAGTCCTGCTGTGGTGCTGTAGGATAAGCACTGGAACACAGGGTTGGTTTGAACTGCAAGGTCTATGGTTCAAACTCATAAGCTGCTCCATGGAAACCCTATACAGGGTCGCTATGAGTCAGAACCAACTCCAAGGCACTTAACAACAACACTGTTTAGGTGTTCCAACTCAGCTACTCTATAGGGTTTCCAAGGATCGGCTAGTGGGTTTGGTCCTCTGACCCTGCAGTTGAAATTGACCTTGTGGTCCTGTGCTTATCCTACAGAGCCATACCAGGACTCTGCTTGATGGTAACTAACAACAGCAATAAAGAGAACTCAAGGAAGGGTTCAGACATCTTTAAAGAAGGTCACATTGGGCCACCTGCTAGCAGAGATATTTGATTGTTTAGCACAAGTTTGTCTGGAGTTGCTGGGTGAGCAACAACAACTCTCTATAGTGCTAGTGTGGGGTAGGCAGTCAGCTACTGGTGGTATGGTGTGGAGTGACCACCCAGGTGCTGACTGGATAGGAGGCATTCAGAGTGTGCTGGTCACAAAGGGTGAGGGGGCTTACCGCAGGACTGACTTCTCAGTGTGTGACCCTCTGACCCGTGATCACACAAAGGTCAAAGCTTTCAGGTTATAAGGTCACAGGTGTTTTAGATGATGCCTGGCTCCACTGAAAGTTTTCATACCCACAGTGCTGATATCCCCCCGTCCCCTGCCCCACCATGTCCCCTTGCTAGAGATGATAGGAAGCCTCTTTCTTCTGCAGTGTCCCTCCATCATCCTCTGCTGAGAACACTTAACACTGTGCCGACTTCAAGGAGCAAAACTTCACAAAATTCCTTTGTTTCTTCTAGAGCATGTATTTCAGGGGACATTCCAAACTGAGAGACAATAAATGGACAACTGACACAGTTACATTGATCTTGTCAGCTCAGGTGGTAACCCTCCACTGTTTTGTATTATGGATGACTTATAATGTATTTGAAGGAGCTCTCGTAGCATAGTGGTTATGAATCGGGGTGCTAACCTCAAGGTCGGCAGTTTTAAACTACCAGCTGTTCTGTGGGAGAAAGATGAGTCTTTCTGCTCCCATAAAGATTTATAGCCTCGGAAACCCTGTGCAGGGTCGCTATGAGTTGGAACTGACTCCACAGCACATAACAACAACAACATAATGTATTTGTATCTCTGTTAATGCTAGCCCTCCTCAGTGAGCTTCTCTTTTAGGGCTTTCTTGTGTATTTTTCCATAAAAACTTTCTAATGACTTTCTCTAGGTCCAGAATAATGACTTGCTGCTCTTTTTATTTGGAGTCCTGGTGTGATGCTGCTGGATAAACACTGGACTGCAAGATTGGTTTGAACCACAAGGTCATCAGTTCAAACCCACCAGCTGCTCCTCGAAA